AAACAGGGAAAAGGAACTGATATTGCTATGTTTTTTGCCTAACCGTGTTTGTAGGTCTTCTGATGTGCTATTCTGTTGAACCATAGTTGTACTAGACTTTAAAGTTGAATTGATTTATTCCCTTATTGTCAACCACTTGAATTGATGAAGAAACCATATCAGTTCAATCAGGCAATTTTTACAAGAATCAGTTGTGTTAGGCCCAAATTAGGAGCAGATTTGCTGCTCATTTATGACCTTTAAATTGCTGTTGTTTCGGTTAATTGATGGCTCCAGTAACTTTAATCCTAGAACACTATGGTGACTATACTTAAAAGATGATTGAAGTATTACTACTATAAACATTTATTTCCTTGTCCAGGGAAGAATATAAGGCCAATGATTGAGACCATGCAATCATGGTTAGGCAGTACCTTGGAAACTACCTCATTTTCTTTTTCTCTATAATTCAAGACACTGAAGAAACTGAAGACATTTTCTAACCTTGATGGAAATGATGAGAAGTTTTATAGGACTTTTTCTGTAGCAATTTGCTTGGTACTTTGGTTTGTGGTCCACGTACTTTTCTGTTTGTGGAATGCTGCAACTCTCTTGGGGATGCTTGTGGATCAATTGGAGGAATCGCTTGGGATGATAAATTTGTTTGTCTTGGTGTTGCTTTTCTGTATTCCACCTTTTTGAAACTAAGGGGATTGTGTCTAAATCTTTTTTTTTTCTCTTGAATCCTGCAGCATTTATGCCCAGAATCAAGGCTGGCAGGTCCGTGCAACTTGCTAGTATATGTGATTTTAACGAGGGTGAGAATTTGCACAAGGTACTTACACCTACACCCCGTTCCTTCAATTAGTATCCCAAGATGAACAGATACTCCTTGCCTGTTGTCTAGTTCCATGTTGATCTGATTACCTGATATTTAGGCATTAGAATCATCGGAATCAACAGCTACATGTAGTACTGCAAAAGAATCAACTTTGGAATTGGAGAGCCAAATCAGGTTGATCTCTTTATATTGTCCAAAAACTAACATATGTTTACATACGTCCTGTTGAAAGTTCACCTCTTTGTTCAAATGTTCTTCATATTATACTTGATTGGAAAGATATCCTAATTTTCCTACATAATACAGGCCCCAGGCTGCTGGAGAACTTAGGGCATCTGACGTTAAGAATGTGAATCCAAATGAGCTTAAAGAAGAACCTACAAGAAGTCTTACTAGCGCTGTATGTGCAGTAGTACTTATTTTTCAATAGAGCAATGACGCAGTGTGGTTCAGTTTCTCATAACCTTTTTCTATTTGCAGGAATTAGACGGGAAGGAATCTTCTGTCCCAGGTTGGTCAGCTATTTTAAACCTCCCAGTAACTGTTGTTCTTTCCACACTTCTCTCTGTTTCTTTAAAACAGCATATATGTATCTAATAACAGTTGGCGGAGAAGTTTCAACCCCAGCACCACCAACAAATTCTGGGAGGAATAAATCCCAGAAAACTGATTCCAAGAAGCAGCAGACAGCCAGAAAGATAGCCAGTATGCTGAAGAACCCTCCAGCATTGAAGTCGAAATATCAGTCACAACAGTCACAATCAAGAAGCAGTAAACCAGCTAGTGTCAGAAAGTCTGTACTACATACATTTCATGAACTCTTTTCAAAAATACTTGTGCATTCTTCTCTGGATGATTTGTTTTTTTTTCTTATTTCTACTATTTTGATTTATACAGGGACACAAATGTGAAAAGCACTGTTGAAACTCCTAATTTTGCTCAGGAAAATCAAGCCGTAAAGCGGCAAAAACTTGAAGGGGGCAAATCTAGGCAGGTGAGTGTAATCCTACTTAATCAGCTTGCACTGATACTTTAAGAAGTTTCAGTCTGAACTTTTCTTCTTATGCTGGATAATTAGATCCTTAATGTCAAACTCCAAAATTTGCCCCACAAAACAAGGAATGGCCTGGTCAGCAGCAGTTCCAACTTATGCTTGTCAACTGCCAAAACCAGCAAGGAGAATAGAAAGGTTACTTGGTTTAGATTTTCTTCCTTTGATTTAGATTTTATTTTACTTTTTAGGACTTTGTTCTACAATGTAATCTTCATGTAGCTGACTTAGTTCAACCATCTTCAATGTTCAGCTTTATGTTCGAGAACCTGCTATACCATTTGTTTCGATGGCAGAAATGATGAAGAAGTTTCAGTCCAACACACGAGAGATATCTCTGCCTCCTAGGAGCAGCAGTTCACTATCACATGTAATTCAACAATTCTTGTATCTGTTCTGTGGCTTAGTTTCTTTAAGCATTTTTTTAATCAAATTTTGCATGCTCAGGATTCTGCTGCTAGAACATTGCAACGGAAGCCCAAGCTCACGTTGACAAGGCCTAAGGAACCTGAGTTTGAAACAGCTCAGAGGGCGCGTCCAGTGAGAGTAAAGAGTTCTGCTGAGCTGGAGGAAGAAATGATGGCTAAAGTCCCCAAGTTTAAAGCTCGGCCATTAAATAAAAAGGTATCAGTTTGTCTTGTCAATTAAGGATATCCTTACTTGATTTGTCATGTGCCCCATTTGTATGATGCTATCTTACATTTTGCCTGTGTCACAGATTTTGGAAACACCGACTTTGCCTAAATTGCCAAGAACCACACCCCAGCTTCCAGAATTTAAGGTAGTTATGATGGAATAAAGGATTTTCAAGAGAGAGCACCAGAGTGAAACAGGGGGAATGAGGGAAAGTTCCTGATCAGGGACACGATAGAAAATGCAAAATACATTAAAATAATGAGGTTGGTACATTTCTCTTTGCAGGAATTTCATCTGGAAACAATGGCAAGAGCAAATCAGAATGCAGAAACATCTACTGTAGCATCTATAGAATCTTCTCAGGCTTTTGAAGTACTATTCCTTATTTGAACTTTGTGATTTCTCGTGAATATGTGGTTTTCTAGGCTAAAATTGCTTATCTATACATTACAGAGTTATCTGAGGAAGCCACATCTCACAGCACCAAAATCACCTCTTCTTCAAACATCACTTAGGGCACGGCCACCAAAGATCAAAAGTTCAGATGAATTGGAAGAAGAAGAGGTAGAAAAAGTTCCCAAGTTCAAGGCAAGACCTTTAAACAGGAAGGTAGCTAGCTGCCACCACCCTTGGACTATATATGTTTTGTTAACCTTTGGATTGCCTATTTGATATCATAAGCTTTTCATATGTCACAGATATTCGAGAGTAAAGGAGAATTGGGAATGTTCTGCAACACCAAAAGGCAGGTCACTATGCCTCAAGAATTTCATTTTGCCACAGACGAAAGGATCCCACCACCAACTAATGTGGCTGACATGTTTGACAAGGTTTTCATATTTGCTAATTCAACTTTCTTTAGCTTACCATCTAGTCCAGTTATTACTCTTCGTTTCCCCCATTTTCTGACGATTGCATCTTTCTCAAAATTTCAGCTTTCAATCAATTCAGAACGTCAGCAGGACAAACCTATTCCTAGGAACACTACTCCTAACCCTTTCCATTTGCATACAGAGGTACATTTGCATTCAGATGGATATCATTGATAGATTCCATTTCAGGTTTAGGTCTATGTACCAAAGTAATCTTCATGGGTTTGGGTCATATTCTTAGGAAAGAGGAGCAGAGAAAGAGAAGAAACTGGTTAGTGAGTTTTGCAGAAACAATGGGAAGAAGAATGGGCTAGGATTCCAAAAGCTTTGCCATATCCTTACACCACTGATTACCCTGTGGTATTTCCCCATCTTCTTGTTTATAATTTGATCGTTATTAGCAGATAGCAGATAGTTGATGGCATAACTTTTGAAAGGGAAGGCTTGTTAATTTTTGTCTATTCTTGACCAGATTCCACCCAAACCAGAGCCAAAACCTTGCACAAGACCAGAACCTTTTGAATTAGAGAGTTTGGTGAGGCATGAAGAAGAAATACAGAGGGAGATGGAAGAAAGGCAGCAAAGGGAGACTGAAGAAGCCCAAATGAGAATATTTAAGGCCCAACCTATATTGAGAGAGTAAGACCTTAGTTTGCTTTCTCTGCTCTGCTCTGCTGTTTTATTTCTTCACTTTGACAACTGCGGGGATAAAATGATTTTCTTTTTCCTGCTAATGCAGGGATCCAATTCCAGTCCCTGAAAAAGCACGTAAACCACTCACAGAGGTTCAGACATTCAATCTTCATGTAGATCATCGAGCTGTTGATAGAGCTGAATTCGATAAAAAGGTAACTGATGTTTATGAGTTTGAACTTTTGAGGGGGCAAAAAGATTGGGATTTTGCGTCCAAAGTCGTCACAAGCTGACATTAACTGGTTTCAGGTCAAGGAGAAAGAAATGATGTACAAGAGATATAGGGAGGAAGCTGAATCAGAAAGACTGGTATATACAGATAGATAAACATTCAGTTTATTATTGCAATTTTCTGACAATGGCTAATGTGAGCGTGTGCAAATTGCAGATGGAAGAAGAGAAGGCATTAAAACAACTAAGAAGGACATTGGTGCCTCATGCCCGACCAGTTCCTAACTTCGAGCATCCCTTCTTACCACAAAAGTATGCAAACAAAGAAACTGCTTGTTTTTCTTATTGTCTATCTATCCCTATTCAATTCCTCTGCTTTTGGTTTTTTCCTTAATATTGATATCTGACCTCATAATTCTTCTGTACATAACAGGTCTTCTAAGCAAGTTACAAAACCAAAGTCCCCAAGACTAAATATACTGAAAAGAAAAGAAAAGAGGAGGATGGTCTGCCCTGTGCCGGCAACAGCTTCCAGTTTGCCAACTCAGATGAGATGATTTGGATGTGTAAATCGTTCAAGACCTCTTGAACTCCCTTCCCTTTCTTCAGTTGCTGCCTTCAACAGCTATGTAGGCTATGTAAAACCAGTCCTTTCTGGCTCTGACTACATATATCACAAAATTTTTTGATTCAATATATAAGTTCATAATTCATTTTATTTAATATAAATGCTCTTCTTTATTTAATATAAATCTCAAGTTCACTATTCGTAATCCCTGAGTCACCAAGGTGGTTGGTTGTGCAGAACCGCGTTGAAGAAGCTAGGTCTGTTCTGTTAAAAACAAATGAAAATGATGCAGAGGTGGAGGAGAGGTTAGCAGAAATTCAATTGGCTGCTGGAAATACTACTGATGCACAAAACCATGAAGACAAGCCTGTCTGGCGTGAACTTTTAAGCCCTTCTCCTGCACTGCGCAGGATGTTACTCACTGGGTTTGGAATCCAGTGTTACCAACAGGTTACTGGTATTGATGCAACTGTTTATTATAGTCCCGAGATCTTTAAAGCTGCTGGTATGCAGGGCGAATCAAAGCTTCTTGCTGCTACGGTAGCTGTGGGTGTTACAAAGACGGTATTTATACTTGTAGCGACTTTTTTAATTGACAAAGTTGGAAGGAAGCCTCTGCTGTATGCAAGCACAATTGGGATGACTGCATGTTTGTTCACAGTGGCAATCAGCCTCTCTTTACTAGGACATGGATCTCTGGGGATTGCTTTGGCAATACTGTCAATTTGTGGAAATGTAGCATTCTTTTCTGTGGGGATGGGTCCAGTTTGCTGGGTGTTGACATCTGAAATATTTCCTATAAGGTTTCGTGCTCAAGCATCAGCGCTTGGAGCTGTGGGTAATAGGGTGTGCAGTGGTCTGGTTGCCATGTCTTTCCTCTCTGTTTCTCGTGCAATTACCGTGGCTGGAACCTTTTTTCTCTTTAGTGCAATTTCAGCTACCTCTGTTGCCTTTGTTTACATGATTGTTCCAGAAACGAAAGGCAAATCTCTCGAGCAGATCGAGAAGATGTTTGAGAAAGGATACGAGTCGCAAGGAGGTGAAGTGCAGCTTGGAGATGCTGAACGTTTAATGCAGAAACAATAACATTGGATGCATTCTTTGCTTGAGCCAGACCAGAATGACTGTTGTGGATAATTTGTAAGCTGCAAGCCTGTCAAACTACAACCTGGGATTTGTCATCAGTTCCTTGCAAAGAGGATTGATGGAGAACAATCCCTTTTGGGCATCAAAGTATCTGTTCCACAGCATTGGTCCCTCCTATTTAGTAATCGATGTGAAACCATAGTCACAGGAATACACTGTTGTTGTAGCAGCTGTAGGTTGTGCACAGTGATAGCAGATTACTCAGAGAGATCATCTATTATTTGGTACTTCCATGAATTTATGCTTCACATGAATGCAATCGCATGTTTTTGTTAGATTGATTTGTAACATCACAAGAATATTTCTGTTCGTACCTAGTAACTTCAATTGGTGATTCAGGCTATTCTTTAGTTTTAGAAGATTAATGATTCTTTTCCTTTTCACTCTAGAGAATTTCTCACAATACAAAGCATTGAACTTTGTAAAGAAGTAGCTTCACGAGTGATGATGTTGGCTAAACGAAAAATCCCCTGCTCCCGCCCTCCAAACGTGCACCTGCACCCGTTGCTCTAAGCAAGTACTAGAATAGAAACAAAAGAGCGCATCTTCATTGACTGAATTAGGCAGGACGGAATTTTTTTTTTCTTTTTTCATTCTAAACTCATCAAATTAAGAGGGTAAGTTCTTCGACTTTCACGGGTCAAATCAAGATGGAAAACATCCAGCATAACTATGTGGAAGTTAGAGGACTGAAGCTGCATGTTGCAGAGATTGGATCAGGTAAGCTCTAAGTTATATTTGATTTACCATAGATTTAAGTGATCAAGATGAAAACTTTCTGATGTCTTCTTTTGATACGAAATAGGCCCTGCTGTGGTTTTCCTACATGGGTTTCCTGAAATATGGTACTCATGGCGGCATCAGATGCTCGCAGTTGCCAATGCTGGATTTCGAGCCATAGCACCTGATTTTAGAGGCTATGGCCTTTCTCAAGTGCCTGCAGAACCAGAAAAGACAACTTTCAAGGACCCTGTGGACGACATTCTCTGAATTCTTGATTCTTTTGGGGTCCAGAAGGTATGAAGTTTCTTGATTCCTATTGTCGACTAGAAAGCTGGGCTAAATTTCATGGTTGACAACTATATGCTATATTGTACAATGGAACTTCATCTGGTTCACAAATATGCAGGTTTTTCTTGTGGGAAAGGATTTTGGTGCTCGAGTGGTTTGTCATTTTGCACTCCTTCACCAAGACAGGGTTTCAGCACTTGTGACACTGGGTCTGGCGTTCACGCCTACCGGTCTAGGAGTTTCTGTAGACTCCCTCCCCAAGGGCTTCTATGTGATGAGATGGCGGGCAAGTTGATTTCTTTTTATTTTCAGGCAATTTATGGTTCGAATATGGTGTTTCTTATTTTTTTTAAAATCAATTTTACACCAAAAAATCTTTGTCTATAATCCATTCAGGAACCGGGAAGGGCTGAAAAAGACTTTGGCCGCTTTGATATTAAGACAGTGGTAAAGAACATATACATTCTCTTCACAAATAATGAGATGCCAATAGCTAGAGAAGACCAGGAAATAATGGACTTGGTTGATCCTTCTACACCACTACCTTCTTGGTTTACTGAAGAAGATCTTACAAACTATACGAACCTATATGAGAGATCTGGTTTTCATACTGCATTGCAGGTCCCATACAGGTAAGGTCCATTCCATCAGTGCTGAGAAATAGTTTTGAATTTCATGCCTTTTTACTTGGAGAACTTCTCCAGGGCTTGGTTGGAAGACGATGGAGTTGATAATCCTAGCATAGATGTTCCTTCCATGCTGGTAATGGGAGAAAAAGATTACGTCTTTGTGCACCAAGGAGAATACCTCACAAGTGGGGCTGTCAAACAGTATGTTCCTGATCTGGAAATAATATTCTTGCCAGAAGGAAACCACTTTGTTCAGGAGCAATTTCCTGAGAAGGTGAACCAGCTTCTGGTCACCTTCCTGAACAAGCATAAAAGACCACTTGCCACACCAAATTAGATAAACCCAATACATACGTTGTTGTGCTGATGTACATCTCGGAACAATCTGTAGTTTTCATTTTGCATTCTGCAGAGGGGACTTATTTCGTAAAAGCAGTTTATGATACTGCCCAAAGCTATTATATATCCCCTTCAACTGACCATGGCCAAACTGAATTCTTACTGAACAGGGTTATTAGTCTTCTTGTTTGTGCAAAAATTGTTAAACTTCAGGTTTATTTGCACCACTGACTGAAAAGTTGTTAATTATTCCAGGGTCATCCTGAATCACCTGAGTATGCAAGACTCAGTATCATGTTGCAAAATTCTTATAGTCCATAATCCAATGTTAATTTGTTAACATAGGATACTTCTAGACTACGGTTCCAGAGGTCATACAAAACTCAAATCTTCAGAAAAACATGGCTTCCCTAAGTTCTGGAAAAACAAAAGACATGGTAGCAAACAAATGCATCCATTTACATGTCAATAACCTTACATTGCTGCAACTTTCTGTATGTTCTTGCCATTTACACTTTTTAGCCAGATATTTAGTGAAACAGCCACTGCATCTGTAGACAAACTTAAAAATTGTTTTATTCTTTTTAATTTGTTATAGAACACGTGCTGCTGCCGCTAGAATAAAACATGCGGTGCATTATTGAGAATATTGAAGTACAGTGGCAGATGCAGAAATGTAATACAGGGAGAAACTAGTTTTTTTATACACGACAACCATCATTTTCCATAGATCTATCTTTTCGGCCCGCGATGCAAATGCTTAAAGTTCATAAGCAGGGAATCTAGCATTAGTAGGTTCAACCATGTCCAGAAAAAGATAAGCCATACCCCCAATTCCTTCAAAGAGTGAGTATGGGCTATCCCCTCCATGCATCTCTCCTTTGGATATAAGTTTGTAGGCTCTATCGAGCAAAAAGCAACTGAAGGCCTTTGCTCGATATAGAAACTCCACATTTCCAGTCAGTCGATAAAGAGCGAGGAAGACATAAGTATTGCCACTGACCCCATGACATATTCCGACTCGCTTTAGAAGTCCACGATTCCAAACAACCTCTGCTGCATCTATAGCTGCTTGGAGAAATCTTTTATCTCCAAAAACCTAAGCAATTAAAGTTCCATCAACTGATGAAGAAGAACATTTTTAAACTAGCAGACAAAGATCATGAAAGACAAGATTCCAGATCTATCCCTTGGTACAGGACTGTGGATGATAGGAGCAATCCGGCTATATGCAATAAGAGGAAAAGTGCTTCCATTGTCTAGTATTAACAGAAGAAGTACGCTTCCACGAAAAGAAAGAAACCAGAAAATAGAGCTCCTCATCAAATTTAGAGTGACTACATTGGCAATATTTGTTGGCAAGGTTAGATAATCCTCATTACTAAGGCTGGATATTTGATTAACAGAAATAGAACTTAGTTTTCTATATTCACAAAAAGCAGATGATCAAATACAACAAAGAAACTGAAGGACCAATATCAGTAAACTGGACATATACATTTTTGATGGACATAATATCAAGAGTCTCATTCTCATTGAATCTGCATTTACTATTCGCAGGTTAGCTTGATACCTCAGCAGCCTTTACAAGTGTTAGTGCAATTCCAGGAGCCCCATGACACCAGTGCACCAGAACATCCCTCCTTTTATCTTCTTCACTTGCAGGATAGTTCCCACTAGGGAACCGGTTCTTTATCATGTAATTAAGAGTTTCCTTGACCTCTTCACGCTCATCTGCCTTCAGTTCAAAGTGCAATAAAATATGCATGATTCCAGCCAAACCATGGGCAGCACCCCAGTACTTTTCACCGTACCACTCAAACATCAATGGACTCCTGCCTCTTCCACCCAATTTTCTCCCACTCCTAAAGATTTCTTTGACAGCAGCACCCTGACATAACATCAAAGTAACAAATGCATTAAGGAGGAAAGTAAGCACACATGCAAAGGCAAAGATTGATCTTACCATCTCAGTGGGCAAAATCGTTCCTCTGCCTATATGTTCATTTATGAACAGACATGCCCATAAATAACCAGCTCTACCATACAACAATTCATCAGGCAGATCTCTTGTCAGCCTAATCTGTTATGAAAATGAAATGAATTATATTGAAAAATCGGAATTAGCAGCTAAAGTAACAGTCAAAATTGACACTCTAGAATTTAGCAGTTTACCTCTTTGAAGTGGTTCAAATAGTAATGTAGTAGCTGATCATATCCCAAGTATTTTGCTACCACTGCACCTAGAGCACAAACACCAGCTCTCCCACATATAAACGTCACATCCCTACAATCAGTAAATGGATATATGCACTAAATCTAACTGAAGTTATAACAATTTCCTATTCTTAAGTCAATTCAAGTCCTTATCCTCCATCAACAATTTCAAGCAGGCATGTGTCACCATAGAAGAAGCACTTGACAAGTGCTATGTACCTGCCATATGTTGCATTCACTCTTTCTGGGTTTGGGATTTTGTTGAAAACAACTCAAGAACAACATGAAACACAATCAAAGTTCTAATTTTCCATTTTTAGAGCGACAGAAAGCCACAACAAAATCCATTTTCCTTCGCATTTTGCTAGTAAAACTCCCCAAATCCAAACGGACCCCACAAATCATACCACAACCACTGGACAAAACAAATTCACAAAAGAAAAAAAAACAAATAAAAAATAATCCCAATTACCTCGAATGAAGAGAAGCAGAGTCGCAGGCATTGACAATCTGAGAACAAAGAATAAGGTCATTTCCATTCCTGGTAACCAGAAATGACTTAAAGAGCAAAAGGGCAGTCCCAAGAGCGCCCGAATAGAGGGTAAAGTCATCAACTTTTTGGCCAGTAAGTCCCCATGTATCCACAACCGCAACTATTGTTTCCTTGAGGTCCAAAGCAGCTCTCTTGAGCTTCTCAGAAAGTGTAGTATAAGGTGTTGCAAGAAGCCTAAAAAGTGATTCTTCTGTGCCTTGTTCTGGGATTCTGTGTCCTGATTGTTGAATTTCTTGTTCCAAAGTGGGATCTTCCTGAACAAAATCCGGCATCAGATTAGGGAAATACCTGTCCGCCATTTTTCTTCTTCAATAGTCAATACGACCTGTGTTTTAGCTCCACTTTTGGCATTCCAGTACAAATTTTTGGGGTAACTTTTTGAAAGTTTTGTGGGCCTGCCACGTAGAGGTGAAGCCGAAGAACTAAGTAGAAAGATGCCAACAAGGTGCCCGTCTCTATCGGAGGTTAAAGATACTTTTTTGATTCTGTTTCATCAGATCACAATCTTAAGGATTGAAAATAATTAGCATGTTTAGATAGGAGATTATTTGAAAAAATATATTTAAAATAATACTGTAATATTTTTTATAATATGATGTATATAAAATAAGAACATAGTTAAAAATTGTGTTTATGATATAAGTTGAATAATATTTAAAAATTTTTATTTTCAAATCATGCTAAGCAATCAGACTAATATTTGGTCAATATTGAAAGATACCTGTTGATGTTTTAAGTGTTCTTGATTATGTAATAAGTATGTGATTATGTTCTTTAAACAATTTGAAAAATAAAAGATAACAACCAAGGAGGAGGTAACAAACAATAGGGGTGGCAAAAATAGGCAAAGTGGAGTACCATAAATGTTTTGTGTTGGTATGGCAAATAATTGGAATCTTTTGAACCAAATAAAAGAGACTAGATATGGTATAATTTTTCTATTTGTTTGAAAATTTGGATTTGATCTGCATATTTTGTAAGCTTTACGCTATTTGTTATTATCTATTACATTGTGCTATTCTCTTAGATTTAAGTTTCTTTATCAGTTATCATTATGTATATGATATTGTCTAATGAGAATTCAACAATATCATTGGCTATATATATATATATATATATAAAGAAAACATTCATTTTGTGAAGATTTTGCTTTGAAATGTTATATAAGTTGTAGAATGTATAAACTCTAGTGTGTGTGTATATATATATATATCGTAACACCCTTGTATGATCCAATTTAAACATGAATTAAATTAATAGAATATTTGTTCTTAAGACCTAGTTTAAAGTATTAATGACATTAGTCATGCAATCGTGAAATTCAACTTCTGTCTCTCTTTTTCTCTCTTCTTTTTAAGACTTGAAAGTTGTCCTAATCTTCAAAAAAAAAAAAAAGAAATCGGATAAAAATTAAAATCTTCTTCCTTTGAAGATTTTGCTTTAAAACTTTTGAAAACCTCGAATATTACTTTCATACTAGGGTGCAATTCCAATTAAACTCAAGGAAAGAATTCCAAAAAAGTAGTATACTTGGTAATTATTTATACTACTTTTCTACCACTATTACTTATTTGTAAAACGCAAGGCCAAGGGGAAGAAAAAAAAAAAAAAAGACCAACTCATTCAACACGTGTAAATCGAATGCAGTGGACATTTACCTTCCATTTTTACGAGAGAGATCTTCGAGACAAACCGAAACTCTCTGACTTTTCCATTTTTTCAATCCACCTCTTTCTTCTTCTTCCATTGATAATTTTCCGATCACACACACAAAAACACGCAAAGAAACACACACAGTTATACATACTCCGACAAAGAAAAAATCATAAAGAAAACATACACCAAAATATAGCCACGACAATGGCGTTTGATCAGGGGTACATGGCCACGGATGGCGGAGCTGATGAAATCAGTCAACCACCGTCTCACCTCTTTGATGAAGGTGGCTACGGTGGCTATGATTTTGATGCACCACCTCCTACCACCCCGGAAAACTATGACTACGACGGTGGTGCTGCACGGCCACCATCACCTCCACCTGTGGCTATGGATTATAACATGCATGCTGGGAATTTCGGGTTTAGCCATTCACCAAAGCGTGACGATTACTCTGCTTCGCCTTTTCAGGAGAATGGTGGCGGTGGTGACGGAAAAGGGTATGATATGGCAGCTGATACAGATGGGATTTTCAGCTCGGCTCCTTCTGATGGACCTTTGCTCCCTGATCCAACTGAGATGAGGGAGGAAGGTGCCGCATTTCGCGAATGGCGCCGGTGGGTATTTATGTCTATACAATTTGGAGTTTTTCCATGTATATATGCTGCTATGCATAGCAATACATTTGTATTTGCGTGAGATTTGAATCATGCTTTGGTTGATTTCTGTGATGGATCTCTGGGATAGCATGGACCATGATGGGTACATTTGGAAGTTTATTACTCTTCTTTTGCCCTTTTTTCTTTCTGAATTACATATTGAAAATTTGTTTACTAGGATCTTTCTTTGGTGAATAATGTTCGTTTATGATTTATTTATATTCATATCATCGCATGCGATAATGGAGATATTGAACAGGCAATCTGTATGCCATGATTAGATATTCATCAGAGATTCAGTTAATTTATGTTAATATCAACTTGGAGATCGAGATTGTTAGTCCTTTATTGCTTTTACCTACCTTTACTTTTATGTAGTTGTCCACACATACATGTTTAGTTTCTGAAGAGTTACATGTCTTCTTGGATCTTAACTAGATATGCCGATTTCAATGTAGTTTTTTTGTTTATTGTGTTGATTCAATTAGTACTGATGTAAACCATCATCAATAGTAATAGATTTATTGGTGCATGTGCTTGGTAAATTGATTTATGATAGACATGCTTACAGTTCTGATACTGAATGCTGGATTTATATGGCTATTTGGGAAACAAACATATATAGATTGCAGAGCTTTACAGTTTAATATGTGGATTGAGAATGTTGATCGAATTCGGTTTCCTGTTCTCATCCTCAGAGTTATTTCTTACATTTCTCGAATAGATTGGTTAATGTGCGTGTCATTGTGCATTCCACTCGGAGAGCGACTGATATTTCAATCTTCAAAGTCTCTGTCTCTGATAATTTCTTTGCTATTCTTAGGGAAGTCTTTAATCTAGTCTATTGGTGATCATATATGATAATTGGTCTCCTATAGTTTCATGCAAATGATGTTTGCTCAAGATTACTTCTTTTTTTTTTGTAAATAGGTTAAAGGATATTTTGTTGGATTTCTGACCAAACAGGGGATTTGTATGGCACAAATGCTATAATCAAAATTAAGCTACATGATGAATAGGCTTTTCTATCTTGGGTTGTAATTACTAATTTGGAGTGTGAGTTGAGTTGGAAATATTTAAATGGAAGCGATTATTTTGCGTCTTCTTCTCAGTGTAGAATTTATTTAGTATGGCAAGCAAGGGAATACAATCCAGAGTTGAATTCAGAGATACCAAAAGAAATCAAGAATCTTGTAACAAAAATGGTATCCTCTATCCTGCTTCTATTAGCCTCTGAAAAGGAGGATTTGGCTAGCATGACGACCAATATGAGATTATTAAATAACCTAATTCCTCCAGAAATATGATATGTCTGTTGACTGTTTTGGTGTTCTCCATTGTGCTCATTAGTTGCTCCATAAGCATTCTCCTTCTGTTACACTAGTTATATAGTTTCTCAGTCTGTTGCTGATATTAATGCTTTTTCTGAATTTTTAAGATCACTAATCGCCTAATAGTATTGTGAAAGTTGGTTAGCTTAGGGTCCAAAATTTTGTCACATCATTTCTTGCTCTGTCTTCACTTCATTTTGGTCTTTCTTTCATCCTGCTCTCCTTTTTTTTTTGTTCTTTTTTTTTTCCCCTTTTCCTCTTTTGCTTTTATCCTTTGGTTGCTAAGGTGCTTGGCCGACGATGTTATAACAAGTATTTGGTAATAATTAGGAACTCCCAATCAGGGTTGTCATTCATGTAAATTTGCTTACTCTGTTGTAGCCAAAATGCAATTTATCTTGAGGAGAAGGAGAAAAGAGAGAAAGAACTGAGAAATCAGCTCATTGAAGAAGCAGAAGAGTACAAGCGAGCTTTTCATGAGAAAACAAGGCAAAACAAAGAGACTACAAAGGCTCAAAACAGAGAAAGAGAGAAAGTAATTTCCAGAACACACATTCCTGTTCCACAATATCTTTATCCCCATTGATTTGTATTATAACGCCTCATTTTTTTGTTTTCGGAATAGCTGTACCTGGCTAACCAAGAAAAATTCCACAAAGAAGCCGATAAACAGTATTGGAAAGCCATAGCGGAGATTATTCCACGTGAGGTACCTAATATTGAGAAGAGAAGAGGGAAAAGGGAGGAAGAGAAGAAGCCTTCAGTTGTGGTCATTCAGGGCCCCAAACCTGGTAAACCAACAGATATGTCAAGGATGCGTCAAATGCTTCAGAAATTGAAGCAGAATCCTCCGCCTCATATGATTCCTCCTCCGCCGTCCAAAGATGCCAAGGATGCAAAAGAAGAGAAGGATACTAAAGAAGGGAAGGATGCAAAGGACAGCAAAGACGCTAAGGATGCAAAGGAAGGAAAGGATACCAAGGATGCAAAGGAAGGGAAGGATACCAAGGACGAGATGAATGCCACTCCAAAATCAGCCAAGGCAGTGAAAGATGACAAGGCTGCAAAAGTTGGCACTCCGAAATCGGCAAGTGCTTCGCCTTCTGCTGCTGCTGGAACGAATGCTGTTTCACCAGCCAAAGATGCTGCTAATGATGGCACTCCTAAAGCAACAACACCAGATGCTGCTTCCATAGCTGAAGGTGAACAAACAGTAGAAAATCAGCCTACCAGTGCATGATAAGCTCCCCATCTCCCTTTCTGTTTTTCACATCTAATTTTATCTAAAATGATCAACTTAGTTCACATTGTTTTATCAATTTACTACCAGTAATAGGAATAATAGCAGTTCTTGTTTTTGACATTAGGACTTTCAGTAGGGGGCTGCTCTGAGTTCTTTTTGATGATTATTGGCTTAGTCTGCTTATTTGAATATTAACACAATAATTTCCTTGCACTTTGCCCTATCTCGATATTTAGTTGGAAGACTGATTAGTTTTGCACATCAAGTGTTTTCTCATTGTAGTTGCTCCAAAAAAAACAAATGAGAGTCATGAAACTTGGGGTAGGGGTATCTGAGATTCTGAATGGAAGAGTTTTCATGTCTTGATGGACATGAACTTGTTCACATAATTTCAAAATTCAATTCTTTATATATAGCGTTTTGGATCAAGATTCAAGAAGAGGCTTTTATTGAGGTGGTGTGCTTGAGAGTTGGAACATTATGGATTTTTAACACGCCTGCTGGACTACA